CCCCAGGGAAGCCCTATTCTCCCTCTTTCCTCCCTTTCCACTCTCTTTCTCACACACCCACATCTGGCCTCTGCAGCCACCGGCAGACACCCCTGATTCTTCCCTGTCTCCCTCCTACCCAGCATGCTAGATCTAGTTTGTGCAGGCTTGCAAAAGCCGATTGTTAAATATTTAGGAATTTTGCGAGCTGATTGTTAAATGATTGGTAGCTTAAAATCAGACATGGTAGGAGTATTTACACCATAGAAATAGGCTGATGTTCCGAGGCAGGGTTTGTTGATGCTATTTTTCTGAAAAGCTGGTCTTCTAGCACACCACTGTTCCATCTATTTCTGGCAAAGACACTTTGCTTTGCTGAGGAATATCCTAATTCTTTGATAGATATTCAGTCTCTACCCCTCCCCCCACCCCACCATTCCTCAGCTCCCTCCTGGGTGGCGGGGAGATGGAGATTCTAGGGCCTGTGTTGTGCTGGGAGGGGAGAGAACAGTGGAAGAAGAGAAAGCATGAGGGAAGTAAGTGAAAAAGAGAATCAAAAGGACAGCAGTATAGGAAGGAAAGAGAAAGAAAAGGGAAGTTGCCGGAGGGCAGGGGTTAGGATAGGGAGAGCGGAACGACCAGCCAAGACTCACCTCACAGTGTCTTCACGGGCACTTGGGCCATTTCCTCACTTGGGGCCAGAAGGTGGCCAAGTTGCTATGAGATGAGGAAACCGCCTTCACAAACTGCCCTGAAACAGGATGTGGGTGGGGACCCCCAGGGCTGGGCTCTGGAGGAAAGAGGGCTGGGGACCTGGACTGGTGAGGTGTAGGAGGCAGGATGCCTCAATCTCTAACTGTGGAGGGACTGGGGGCCCAGACTCCTGGGTCTGGGGAAGAAGGGAGGACCCAGACTCCCCCTCGACCTCACTCACCAACCCTCCAGCCCCCACCCTACCCCACCGCTGCTGCCTTTAAGGTGTTGAGACTCAGAGGGAGGCCCAGGCCCCATTTAGCAAGTCCCTGCCCTCCCCACCCCTTTCCTGGACTGCCTTGAGTGAGGCGGGATATAAAAAGGAGGAGAGAGCGGGAGCGAGGGTTCCAGCTGCCCTGATCATGAGCCTTGCTCTACTGCTGGCCCTCCTGGGCATCACCGTGCCCCGTGAGTGAGGACCCCAGACGGGAGGGGAGTCCCCTGGAGGTTGAGCTAAGACTGATTGGCTCTTCCCATCTCAGGAGTGCAGGCCCTGACCTGCTACTGGGGGACACTGGAGTCCGTGAGGAATGTATCGGAACTGCCCCTCCAGTGGACGGCTAGCCAGAAGCACTGCGAGGAAGGCTGGAGCTGCCAGGAGGTTCTGATGCTGATGGAGAACGGTAAGGAGGGCCCGTGGGCCCCCGCCCGACTCCCACCCTCCCCTGTGCAGAGACGCTCCTATCGCCCCCGCTCCTACCGGCATATTCTGTGTACAAACTCGAAAGCCTGCTCCCCCCAGTACCAGGAGCTGTCCCCTCCTCGGCTACCCAGCGGCCTGCTCTGCAGCCTCTCACCCCAGAGCACGAGGCACATCCGCCCTCTAGTCGTGACCTCACCCCCGCCCGCCTCTCTTTCTTGGTCCAGGACCCCACGTGTATGTGGTGCTCATCAAGGGCTGCACCCAGGCAGCCGATCACGAGGACCTCATCACCCAGCACAGGGCAGGCCCCGGCCTGTCCATCGCCTCCTACACCCGGGTGTGCCGGGAGGACTTGTGCAACCATCTGTCCACCAGCCTCCCTCTCTGGGCCCCGCCTCCACCCACAGGTGCTGGAGGGAGAGGAGGAGGGTGTTTGGGAGGAGGGGAGCCACGAGGCTGAGGCGTTGGGGTGAGCATGCAGGGGATGCTCCTTTAGAATCCCTCCCTGCCCACCTTCCCCAGCACAGCTCCTACTAACAGTCCCGGAGCAGAAAACTGAAC